CCTCCCCTACTCTTATGTGAGGATGAGTGAATTCCTTTCAGCCCTTCCTTGCCTCAGGGTACAGTGTGTCTGCCCATGGTTGTTACCTCCTGTGGAATCTAAGCCTGGGGAAAACACTCATGCCCCTTTCTCTATTTATGCCCTTTCACCCAATAGGTGGTGCCCAGAAATACGAGTTGAATTTACAATAAGCCTCAGGAAGGCACTAAAAATACTACAGATGTGTTTTAAGAGCCAGCAGCCCTTCCAGAAAGCCAGAAGTTGCTTTTATATATATATATCTTATAAAAGTGTCTCTCTCCATAATCATATGATTTTTAAGGTTTTTCTTTTCATGCCTTATACAGTCAAGGGAGATATGACTTAGCCAACTATTTATGGATATAAAAACAAAGCATAGAGCAGTGGCATGATCAGTGCCATCCTATAACCTAGCCCCCTGAGGCTCAAGCCTAAACTTTTTTCTGATCCTGATGTAGCATGGTACCCCAACAAGGTGCAAGCCAGATCAACCAAGACTGCACATTAGATGTCAGTGACCCTAGGGGCCAGAGCAGAGGGGATATTATTCCTTTAACCCTGGGAGTAGATAAGCTACTTGGGCATCTTTACCCTGCAGCAATTAGGAAGGAGGCAGGAATGTCTGACCCTCTCGGCAAAAGTTAGTGAAGACAATGCATATTCGCCAGTCACTCTGGATGTCTCTTGTCAATGGTGAGTCATCCTGTCAACTCTCAACACCACCCCAAAAAAAGGCAGCTTCAGGAAGTGACCTCTCAGAGAGAAATATCATCTATGGACTCTACAAAGGCACTGACTTCAGATCCAAAGAAAATTATAGCTTAGGAGAACTCCATGAAGACTCAGAAAGCAGGGGTTGTGAGTTATCTATAAGTGTGCCTCGTTACTTTTGTATTTTGTGCATACTCACTGCATTGACCCTATATGTTATTTGTGAGAGTGTGAACTAATCTTTAGAGGGGTAATGTTTTTGTAACTAATCTTGTTATTACCATCTTAGTAAATACCTTTGCTAAAAAATTGACTGAGGCCATTGACAAAACATTAAGGAAGCACACCAGTAGGGGCTCATGATCAGTGGTGTTTGAAACCCATTCCTTCAAGCTTACTATCTAGAACCCTGAGACTAGCAGTAGCCAGATGCCCTCTGGAAGCCCAGTATCTGAACTCAACTTGAGGCTAGTGGCTTCACAAGGGATGATAACTCTGATGCCTGCTCGTGGTATAGGGGTCATCCTGGACTCTCAAAGGTACCAGCAGGTCCAAGAAGCTAGAAAGGCCTTGGACACAGGTCTGACATATAACCTATCTTCTGATGACCAGTCTCATTAATGTCAGAGGGACTTATTGTTGGGCTTGCCGCAGGGCAATGAATTCTGGTAACAAAAATCCATGAGTAGTAGAAAAGTTGTATTCCCCCTCAGTGAAAGGAATATTTACCCATAAAATTATGGATCCTTGAAAATTCATTAATTAAACTGATTGTTTTCCTAATAATGAGCAATCCTTTTTGTTCATCCTGGGATTCTTGGTATAAATCCTACGTCCACATAATATCTATGCATATTACTCTATTCTATTCGCCAATGTTTTGATTCTATATTTTTTGTTCAGGTACACATTAATAATAGAGTTAAACAACTCTCTAAGACTAAAATATACCAAGCTGGTACTGCTGTTATTTTGGGATAGCTCCACTTGGGAGTTCATTCTTTCAATGAAGTCAAAGATGCAGTTCCCTCCCCAAACTATTAGTGATATTGGACTCACTCTTTTTCTGCTTTATCTATGCCAGGTTTGGGGATCAAGACTATATTTGCCTCCCAGAACAAATTAAGTAGAATGCTATTGTCTCTTTCCATTTTTGAAAAATTTGTATAATAAGAATTATTCTTTGAATGTTTTGGGGGGGGGAGTGAGGCAATCGGGGTTAAGTGACTTGCCCAGGGTCACACAGCTAGTGAGTATCATGTGAGACCAGATTTGAACTCAGGTCCTCCTGACTCTAGGGCCAGTACTCTATCCACTGTGCCACCTAGCTGCCCCTGTACTTTGAATGCTTGATAGAATTCATTTGTGAATCTACCTGGTCCTCACACCTTTTTGCAAAACTCATTAATGCCCTATTAAATTGATAATTCCATGATTGGGTTATTCAGGCTATTTCTTAGTTTTTCAAATTAGATAATTTATATACATTTCAATACTCATCTTTTTAAATATTCTGATTTTTTGGTCCATATCAGCATATTCGTTTTTGAAAATTATCTTTATTCTTTGTGGCTTCCCCTTCATCATTTCTGTCATTGGATTTTACTCTTTCCTTTGATTAAATTTGTTAAGTTAATTTTTATTGGTCTTTTTAAAAAGCCTCTGGTTCTCTTTATTAATTCAATCATTCCTTTATTTTCTATTTTGCTACTTCCTCCTGCATCCTATAGTGATTTGTTTTGTCTTCTAGCATATTAATTTATTCATTTTATAATTTCTTTCATTTTCTTTTTCTCTTTTCTTAATATAACCATTCTGGAACATATTTTCTCTGAGTATTGCTGTGGTGATATCTGTAAGTTTTGATGAGTTTTATATTGCCGGCATATATAATTTTTATTGTTTCATTTCATCTTTAATCCCAGAATTATTCAAAAAGAGTCATTTATAGTCTCCATGTAGGCCCTATGCTTTTTTCTTTGAGAACTATTTTTATTTCATTACATTCTTATCTGAAAATGTAGTATTAATATTTTTGCCTTTTTAAATTCATAATTCCTTTGTGCCCTAGAATACAAGCGATTTTCATGAATGTTTGGTGGGAATTTTTTTAAACATTCTTTTTCCCATTCTGTTCTCCACATATTATCAAATCCAATTTCCTCAGATCTCTGGATTCTACTTCTTCTTTATCTCATTTCTCATATTCTATTAGTGAGGTTTTAAAATCTGATAATTTTCTAATTATTTTGAACAATGTTTTTTCCAGTGCACAGATTTTTTTATATTGACCAGAAGACTTAGACCTGAAAAGAAACTTCGAGAACATCTGGCCCAACCCCTTCACATCACGGATAAGAACACTAAGACCAAGAGATATCGAGAATTTATCCCAAAGTCATAGAGATAACAAGTCCCAGAGCCAGGACCCAAAATGAATCCTCTGACTCTAAGTCAGTGCTCTTTGCACCGTAGTAGGTTGCCTCTTCAATGCTATTCTCTCACTTGGATGAGCACTTTTACTTTTTCTCTCTTAACGCTTTCTAATTTGAATTTTGTCTGATGCCACTGCTGCAGTTCTCAGCGATCTGGAAATGTTGACATATAATAACATCCTCTCAAACTTCTGAGTACCTTTTTTGCATTAGGTGTGATTCCTGTAGGCAATATATTGTTGGGTTGTTTCCATCCATTTGAGAAGCCTTTGTCTTTTAATAAGTGGATTAAATCCATATATATTCAAGATAATAATAATTTGAATTATCCTATACTTTGTCAAATTATTCATTTTGTAAAAAAAAAAAATACTATCTCACTTCCTTATATTCATGAATACTGAGGTGGCAGCATGATATAGTTTTAAATAGGGGCTAAAAAGCATTAAAATTGGAGTCACAGAATTTGAGTTTCAATGCCTACTCTGCAATTACTCCCTCCATGAGACCCTAACCAAGTCACTTTCCATTAGTGAAACTCAGTTTCATCTTTAAAATGGAGCTGTATTGATGATCTCTGGCATACTTTTCCTCTAAATCGAAACCCTTTTCCAAGCCTAATATGCACACACACACAAAACAGTAGACATGGTGCCTATATTTTATATTAACTAAGGTTTTTGGGGGGAAATAGTACAATCTTTTCATTAACTACCACCATTATTCCCTTCTTCCTCACTGTGAGATAGCATCGAGGCTTTGAAATTACCTTCCTCTCATTTGCCCTGAGATTATTCGCCCTCCTTCTTGTGCTATACCACCCAAAATGAACTTTACCAACTGGGAGTTATCTGGGCTTCATTTGAGACCTCTCTTCTCTTCTCCCTCTTCCTCCTGGCAGCCCATCTGAATTATTCACTTGTTAATCAAAACATTGTTTTTAATCCTCCTATGGTGATTGCCTTAAGAAAACTAGTTAATCATAGTTGTAAAGCATCTATTATTCCCTTCTTGGCTTTGTATGTCAAACACTGCTTTAGGGTGGATTTTTATTGGCATAGATTTGTCAGTTCATTTATGCTTTTCACTGCCTGCATTTTTTTCTTTGAAAAGAATGCTTAATTTTGCTGGGGAAAGGATTTGGGGATGATGTCCTCTATCTCCTAAGCTTTAGTAGATCACATTCATGCTTCTTGTATCATTTCTCAGTTTTTGAAAAAAAAAATCTCTTCATCACATCACTGTTAAATGACATATCTTTCTTCTTGGCTGCTTGTAAGAGCATCTTCTTATCTCAAAGTGTAACAATGAGTGAATTGAGTCTGAGCAGATTGGGAGTTCAACAATCCTATACATTTTGTCAACTTTCAATTTATCCCTATGATTGTATCATGATTTTAAGCTGTTTTGTACGTTACCCTAACCCTGCTTTTGGGTTTATACCATCTAGAAGTAATAGTATTCCCCAACCCCACTCACAATGATTTGTATTTATTCATGCTACAATTTGTGTTTCTTATGGAGTCGTTTCTTGATTCTATGAACTGAACTGATGCATTTGTACTGATTCATGAAGGTTATTGTATAAAAAGTCCAGCTCCGTACTCACCTTCAACTAAGAGACACTGGTCTCTCCTAGAGCCTCTGTATGTCTCAGCCTGTAAAAAGCTCTGTTGATACATTAACTGTGCCCCTATCTATTCCAGAGTTGTGGAATCTGGGCCTCTGGAGGCAACTGTGGCAAAATCAATCTGCATTCCCGCATATATACTTTACCCAATAAACAGCCCGATTTGAACTATTAGCAGTGAATGTGGTAGTGTATTCCTTGAGTCAGCTCATACCAGAGAAATATATTGCACTTGAAAGTACAGTTGGCATAAGTCAACAAGAGGATGAGCATAGGAATTCCATAGGGAAATTTTGTCAAAAAAGTGAAAAATAGAAGTGGGATTAAGGGTTCTGGTTTGGAGAGCCATGGGGCTTTGGCAAACTATGGCCACACAACTGATTCCTCTCCTTCCCATGGTCTGATCTGATTAGAGGAAAGGATGCCCATTTATAGGGAAATATTAGGCCAAATGGTAGCCATTAAGGGAAAATGACAGAACATATTGGACAGTGAACTGGGTATGTCTCTTCCTACATCAGCTAAAGAAATAGAGCCAATGAGGTTGGAAGTTGACAGACTAGGAGAGAAAATGACCATGAGAGTGCTTAAGCATCCCCACTAGAAATGTGCATGAATGAAAGGTAAGGTTGGAAACTCTTGCTTGTGATCGGGCCACAGCCCTTCCTCCTTGGGGGTGAGGGACAGATGGAGAAAGGTCAAAGGAGGAAGGGGCCCCATTTACCTTTGGGGATGTCCTGTTTTGCTCGAATGAAAGAAGTCCTACTCTTTGGAGCCACCCCTCTCCCTAGTCTCCCTCTACGAGGCTTTAATATGGAGTTCTCGATTGGTGGAGGTGTGTTAAGCGTGGGATCACCTCCGATCTTCGATACGATCCACTCCAGAAAGCTCCCCGTGGATGTGTAGACCCCTGGCCGTTTCACCCGGCCACAGCCTGTGCCCCAGCTGGTGATGCCAGTCACCACGAAGGTGTCACTGTTTTTGTCCTTGCACATGAGTGGCCCGCCACTGTCCCCCTGCATAGAAGGGAAACATTGTCCCAGTTCTTGTTACAGGGACTCATGGTTCTTGTTCCCTGCCCAACATGCATAGGGTCCTCTCAGCTCAGACAGTCACTGTCCTCTAAGAACATGCATTCACAGTGCTCTTAGGACACACAGGCACTACTCCTTCAGGACACGAGTGCCCTAAATCACCAGGGCACTGACACCTCAGGACACACACACACACATACACACACACACACACACGCACGCATGCACGCACACAAACATGCACTTGTGGACAAGATCCTGAGTGTTAATTTGGGACTGGAGAGATGCCAGGGCATTCAGGAAGTGGTCTACATGGCAAAGGGAGGTACTGAGCATGGAATAAAGGACCCAGCAGACTCAACCTCCTGGGTCTGGGGAAAAAAATGTCCAGGTGTGAGCTTATGGAGAAGAGGGTCCTTGGGTATGTTGGTCCTCGTGAGACAAGGAGCGTACAGAGCAACTTGCCCACAGCCCTCCCACAGAGCTATATGAATGACTAGAGAAGAGGCTCATTAGGTAAAATTCATGTTAGAATTAGGCAGAAGGCTCTCGGTTAACTGGAAGCTGGGATCTCAGGGTCATGGTTGGGTGGGCTTAGGGATGTAAGCACCTGAGGGCCCAGGGGAGGAATGTTACCTGGCAAGTGTCGATTTTACCCTCTGGATAGCCAGCACACAGGTTGCTCGAGTGAATGAATCCGTGGTACCACTCAGTCCCGTTGCATGTTTCCAGACTAATGATTTTCACCTCTGCTTCTTGTAGTATAGCTGCTGGCTGCAAAGCTGCAGGCAGAGTGCTCTGGCCAGACAGGTCACCAAAGATTCTCACCCCATTTCAAAATCTGTGACTTCCTGTGATCCCCAAATCTGCTCTGAATCCATGACCCTTGGCCAGCCTCTGGGACCCCCCCCCAACCTTTCAAACCTCTGGGATCCCCTACAGCTCTCCATACTCTCCATGACCCCACACCTTTACAAAAAGGCATGGAATGTGATTCTTTAAGGCCAAGGCAAAGCGTAGCCAAGAGTTTGTGGGGTCAGCAAGGAAGACGGCATCAAACACTCTGGGCACCTGGACAACTGAGGGGAGCCCCTGGCCTCACTGTCTAGTCCCACAATCCTGCTTGTCCTCTGGGCACACTAAACACTTGTACAACCCATTTCTTTGATTGGCGAGAAGTTAAAAGGGCTTGGAGGGACTCTTGTCTCTGCTCTCAGAATTATTGGACAGAATGGAGAAATGCTGAAGAGAAAAGGACCCTCAGGCAATGAGAAAATTCAGGGTGGGACAGCTATGGATAGAGCACCAGCCTTGGAGTCAGGAGGACCTGAGTTCAAATCCAGCCTCAGACACTTGACACTTACTAGCTATGTGGCCCTGAGCAGGTCGTTTAACCACAATTGCTTCACACACACACACACACACACACACACACAACAATCCAGGGCAGAGGCTTCTACGTTACGGTTTGAAATCAGTCACACTTGATACTAGCCGGTCAGAAAAAGAGAGGGTGGTTGACAGAACTGATGCAGCAACTCAGGGAACTCATTCGCTGTATGACTAGGTCAGGGCCGTGTAGAAGAGACCGAAATGAAAGTACTTAGGAGGAATCTCAAAAATGAGTCTAGTCCTCTAAGGAGTGTCAAGAGCACTAAATATCTCCTCCCCACCCTATATTTGCCCCTCTCCTGTCCCTCTCCTTGGACCTCTCCTGCCCTATCCCACCCAATTCAGCCCCAGTCCTGTGCCCACCTTCCTCTGAACTTGTTAGCTTTGCCCCATCCCTAATTCTACACACTGGGCACCTCCCAGGAACTTCCCAGTAGACACCACAGCCCAAGAGATAAACAAAAGCCTTCAGGAAACGTTAGCCTGTTTCACGTGCCCTTAAAGCTACTTGAACCTGTGTGAAGATCAGGACAGCAGGATCAGGAGGAGGACCCCCTTAGGCCATGCACAGATTTCAGGCCCCTTTGGAAGAGTTGTTTGTTTATTACTATTTGCTGCACTGGGTGAATTAATGTTACTACTTTATTCATCCCTAATATTCTGATTAAAGATTTATACAAAAGCTTTAGAAGTGAGAGACTATAAGGAAAAGGATAAACCAACGGGGAGTAGAACATTGCAAGCCATGAGATTAGACTGGGTAATCCACATATTACAAAAATCCTGTCATTCTAGTGAAACAAGCATCATTATCCACAAAAGGACACAACCATGGAGAGGGAGGCAGCCAGCTCACAGAAAACCAGAGAGAATTGATGGTGGTTATCCCAAAGCATTCTCTGCTCTTGGGTACTATAAACTGAAAATAAGGATAAGAATTTGATTTGATAGCACCTGGTCCTTTCTACTAAATAGGACTACACTCAAACGATATATATACATATATTGCTTTTTGGTGAGGCAATTGAGGTTAAGTGACTTGCCCAGAGTCACACAGCTAGGAAGTGATCAAGTGTCTGAGACCAGATTTGAACTCAGGTCCTCCTGACTCCAAGGCCAGACCTCTATCCACTGCGCCACCTGGCTGCCCCCCTCAGACGATATCTTGGAAGATTTCCTGGGAGGAAGTTTCTAAGAAAGACCTAAAACATTTCCTATTGACAAAAACAAAATGAAAATGTATATGGCTATTAACACAGAAATCAAATCAGCAGGAGTTCATGTTCCTACTCAATACTGACCCAAGCCAAAGCTCTAGCTGGTGTGACTCCATCTGCCTCTTTAATCCTTCAGTGGATCTGTGATAGCATCAAGGTGAGTGCTTGTTCCATCAGGATAAATACTAACCCAACCTAGTCTGTTCATCCCTCCACGCACCTCTAACCCATGTTCCTCTTGGCAAATCCTCCATAGGCAATCCAATATACTGGAGGCCTTCCTCCGATGCTTTTCATCTCATGTGGATACCAGAGCATTAGCCAAACTACCCATTTGCAGTCATGCCTCTCACTACATAACCAGTCCATCCCACTTCTCCCATCATCCAAGTCCTTGAAGAGGTAAGTCTTTTTGAGGACTTCTCACATGCAAATTCAGCCCTCCCTCTATGTGCCAGGCATTTGCCAAGTCCTGAAGGATACAAAGGAAGGGAAAAACAAGCTCTGGCTTCAAAGAAAGTACATTCTTATGGGTGGGGAGATGAGAGGGGAACAAGAAGTAACTAGGTACATACACACATACATACATTTGTTTGTCAGTTGTCTGAGTCATGTCTGACTCTTCATGACCCCATTTGGGGTTTTCTTGGAAAAAAATACTGGAGTGGTTTGCCATTTTCTTCTCCAGCTCATTTTGCAAGATAAGGAAGCTGAGGCAAACAGGGTGAAGTGACTTACCCAGGGTCACACAGCTAAGACTTAGAATACAGTGGGAGCCTTATTAGTAATAGGGCAGTTTGGCAAAGCTGTGGGTTTGAAGGGAAAGACAATGCATTTGTTTGTGACCTGTTAAGTTGGAGTTGCTTGCAGGACATCCAGTTGGAGCTGTCCAAGAGACAGTTGGTGCTTCAGGCCTGAGATATGCTGTAGTCTTCTGATGACTGCCCTATGCATGGTGTCATCTACAACTTGAATTAGAGACTTTGTAGGTATGATGCAACAGCAGGAAAATCTGGTGGTTCAGTAAGGTCCTTTGTGACAGTTTGGTATCATTGAAAGTCCTGGGGGCAACTAGGTGGTGCAGTGGATAGAGCCCTGGTCCTGGAGTCAGGAGGACCTAAGTTCAAATCCAGCCTCAGACACATGACACTTACTAGCTGTGTGACCCTGGGCAAGTCACTTAACTCCAATTGCCTCATCAAAAAAAAAAAAAAGACAAAAGAAAAAGAAAGTCCTGAACATATTGATGTTGGAGCTGTGAATTACTTCAACAAATTTGGAAAGCAATTAGGAATTATGCATTAAGGGGACTAAAAGCTAATGAGGAAATGTTTGTAAAAGTACTTACCACAGTGCCTGGCAAATAGTAGGTGCTTAATAAATGCTTATCACCTTTCCCTAAAAGGTCTATGCCCTTGACCCTGAGATTCCTTTGCTAAACATATCCCAAGGAGGTCATTGATAAGAAGAAAACCTCCATATGCACCAGCACTTGTTTCATAATAGCAAAAGAACTAGAAACAAAATAATTGGAAACAAAATTCTCCTATTGGATGGAGAATGGCTGAACAAACTGTGGTGCATGAATGTTATGGAATATTACTGTTCTTTATAAACTGGCTAATATGAGAGATATAGAAAGCATGTGTCACATGAAGCTGAAGAAATATCCTGGTCTTTTGACTTCCTACCTTGAGAAAAAGAACATACCATTCTGAATTCTGAAGAGAGAAAGTCTCCAGGAAGCCCTAATGTGCAGTAGAAAACCTTTATCATGTCCCCTCTGCAGCTCACTACACTAGAGACTTCAGGAAATTTCCCCTTGGGTGAGATCTGAGAATCTCCTTCTTGGCCGAGCTGAGTCACTTCACTCCCACTGCGAGAGCTCATTCACCCTGTACTGGCTGGTAAATATTCTCATATGTATACTCTCTCTAATTCCTATTTTGATATGACTTGGATAAATGGGTTTACTTGTTATTTGCTATGTGTGCTCATTATGGAACTGACATTTGGTGGGAGAGTAATTAAGACAGAAACTTTGGGGTGTTTCTTCCCCATTGAGAGATAGTGATCAGCAGCATAGCTTAGACCTCAAAATGACTTCCCCTAGACTAACAACATTTAAGAGAGAAGACAGATATAATTCTAGCCCAATATACCCTTCTTTGAGGAAAGCAGTATAGCCAGCCTCTGACCCCAATCTCCTGCTTCCCCTCTCAGCCAAAATCAAAGTTTCCTTTCCCTTGGAGAAGAGTGGGGGGAAGAGATGTCCAGTCTTACCTGCCTGTAAGCCACATCTAGAATGACCCATGTGGGCACACATAACCTACCTGGGCAAAACACACCACACGCATACACACTCACATGCACACATCTCTTATACGTGGAAAGATTTACATGAACTGATGCAGAATGAAGTAAACAGAGCCAGGAAAACAACATACACAATGACTACAATTACAAAAGAGTTGAAAATTAATTACAATGAATAGTCTTGGTTTCAAATAAAAGATGTGAGAAGATGACAGAATTAGTAGAGGAGGAGGAAGAAGGGAGAAGAATCCATGATTTTGAAACATAGCCTCATTTTCAAATCTTTTATGTATTAATTGGTTTTGCTTTTTTTTCCTCATCTTCTTTTTTTAAATCTTTGCTATTATATGATGGTTCCCTGGGAGGGGTAAGAGAAGAGATATCAAGGGAAATTGTGTCAAAATAAAAGATATCAATAAAAACATATATTTAAAATCAAAAGAAAGTGCTGAACAATTTCCCAGGATGTGAAGCAATCTACTGCTGTGGTATCCTGGGCTTACCTCATTGTTAGTCTGATTGGTCTGCCCAAGACACATCTGTTGATGAAATAACTCTAAGGCTATCCATCCAGCTGAAGTTATAACCTGGTAGATGAAACTCTAGTTATATCCCCGAAGAAAGTGAAGCTCACTGAAAAAAGTATGGACTCTCTTATTTATAAGTCTTGATATCTCCAGTATTGACCAATGCCTGACATGCAGTAGGCACTTCATAAATCCTTGTTGATTAATTGATAATGTGGGTAATATGCCTAGGAAAGCCAGTCATTTTGCTGCTACTGAGAAGGCATAACAAAGGCAGCGATGTAGCACATGGGAATTGAGTCAGAAGGTACTGAGTCAGGACCCCACTAG